ATCTCTTGGTGTCCTCCTCTCCCCGTCTTCGATCGCAAAGAAAAAACCAAAAATTAGCTAAAAAAAGCAAAAAAAAAAAAAAAAACTTGCCCCCCCCCCTTTTTTTTTTTTTTTTTTTGTAAAATTGTTTATTTTGATTTTTTGACATTGTTGTTAGGGTCTAAAAAAAAAAATAGATTCAGGGGCTTGGTGCTGCAAAAAAGACTTTCCGGAACTGAAGAGTGCCAAGCGGCAAGCCTCCCTTTCCGCTGGTCAATTCGCGTGACAGTGCGACTGCGCTCGACTTTACCAAAATAAAAACAACCCTTTCTTTAGAAGGGTGGGGGAGGTTGGTCGTGAAAAAAAAATGTAACGGATTACAAGGAATCCGCTACGTAAAAAATGTAAGGGAATCACTTTAAAATCACTCTACAAAATATGTAATTATTCCCTTACAAAATTGCCGATAAATGTAAGGGATTACAAGTAAGTTCGCTACTTGTAACGGATTACGTGCCAGTCTGCTGTTGATGCGCCGCGCGAAGAATTTCTTCAGCCATTTGGTGGTCGGAGGAACAAGTGTTGCTTCTGGCGTTTAAAACGTGTAAGTTATGATAAGATACTGCAAACGACTTAATTTTCGCGAGATCCTAGTTTTCGCGAATCGTGTAGGTCCCGCGAACAATTCTGGTAAAATATAAACACATTCGAATCTATGCTTCATGGTAATAAAACCCGAGACTCAGGAACACAGAAGGGGACGAACACAACGTGTCAACGTCCCCTTCTGTGTTCCTGAGTCTCGGGTTTTATTACCACGAATCATCACCGGCTCGCTCGTTTTTTTAAGTATTACTGCTGTTATTCGAATCTATATACTGAAATCCCACCGCGTCGCGAAGATTAGAACCCTCGAAATATTCTAAAACGTCCGCTTTGACCTAAATCGCGAAATATCGAGCCCGCGAAACGTTTCCAGTCTATCTTATCTGTAGTAATATGGACAGTTGGGCGAGTTGGTCGCAGCTATCACATATGACCATTATGAACGAGGGAAATGCTCGTCGAGGAGCCGGACAGGGGCCTCGTGACTTTTCGGAGAGCGCGGGATGGGCACGTGATAACCAGCGTGCCTCGTCCGCTCGTCCATTGTCAGGTGAAGTCTGGCGCAGGGGCAACGCCTGTAGGCGACGGGTCACAGTGCTGCCGCCGCTGCGATTTCCTGATTGCGGTCCAGTTGATCCCCCGCTTCGACGCGTGCTCGAGCTTCCTCTGCGACTGGACGACGGACGCAAGGCCATTCTCGCTGAGGAGATCTGACCCCGGGCATGCCCTTTGTACGAACTGCGTTCGGGATGCCGCGAAAGTTCGTCCAACATCCGATTGGTTCGGCGAATACTCTTGGCCCGACGAATCCCGGAGAAGAGCTCACCGGAGATAAGCTCACCGGAGAAAAGCTCACTGCAAAACCGGCTGATGCGGAGAAAAGCTCACCGGCCATTGACCGTATGCGGAGAAAAGCTCACCGATTTTTTTTTATATAGAGGTTGTTGGATCATGCGTAACATATATAAATTCATTTTGATTAAAATTCGTCAGCTTCGCAAAAAGAAAATGCCATTTTTTGTAAGCTTATTGGGTATATTGCTCCCAAATAAATAATTGCGGGCGAGTGTTTTCTGTGGCTTACTCTCTAGGCAACGAAAGCCTAACTAAAACCTTTATGAACTTGACGAAGAGGAAAAAGTTCGAAAACTTGATAATGTCTGCTTAAAACTTAAAAATCAAAACTGTAAATGCCGAAAATCCGAAAGCGCATGCGCATCAACGCGGTGCCTGAAATTATCTTTGAAGCTTCTGTTAACCTCTGAAAACAGGATAAAGCAGTCAGTAGGATATCGAAGCTTCTTTCTTCCGCGGACATGCACGTTTTCTAGCCGTTCGAGCTGGTGTTTCGACACGTTGCCTTTTGTGTGATAGTGACCTTCTACGGTAAGCCATTCATGACCTTCCGAACTGCACACTGGCACCGTTGTTACTCGTTACCTATATAAAAAGTAGTCTTCTGTAAGGTAGTGAATAGGGCGAGTTGATAAACGTTATACATGATGAAAACTGCTCAAATGACGACGACGGATTGGAGACAACAAACACGACACGACGAAGCTGTTCTCGCTGCTAAAGTTTTGTTAGTGAAATTAACAGAAAGAAAACAGCGTAGCCGACATTGATTACATCAACTAACACCTACTTATCTATTAAGTACTACACAATATTTGGAGCTGAAACGGTTCACCACGCCTCTATTCATATAATCTCGTAAAGAACAAACCTCTATTTGACAGAGCTACCGACCGCGCACTAGTCATTTGTCAATAAATTGTCTTTTTTACCGGTGTACGATGTTCTGATTTTATACTTGCGGCTTCATTAATATACAAAATGGGTGATTAATAATTTCTGAGGAATTAGTAAATATGCCCAATGAACTTCAAGCACATTAAAAAAAGGACATTATTAATAAAGTGACGAAGGCGAATTGTGTTAAATTGCCACGTTTGACGCAGAATCCGCTGAGTTAATAAATCGGTGAACTTTCCTCCGCATCCGCCCAAAGGCCGGTGAGCTTTTCTCCGCATCTGCCGGTTTTGCGGTGAGCTTATCTCCGGTGAGCTTATCTCCGGTGAGCTTATCTCCGGTGAGCTTATCTCCGGTGAGCTTATCTCCGGTGAGCTTATCTCCGGTGAGCTTATCTCCGGTGAGCTTATCTCCGGTGAGCTTATCTCCGGTGAGCTTATCTCCGGTGAGCTTGTCTCCGGTGAGCTTGTCTCCGGTGAGCTTGTCTCCGGTGAGCTTGTCTCCGGTGAGCTTGTCTCCGGTGAGCTTGTCTCCGGTGAGCTTGTCTCCGGTGAGCTTGTCTTCGCCGCCCAAGTTCGACGATGGATGGATGGATGCTGATAGCTGCACTATTTATAACGGGCGGTAGCTTTCGCCGCCCTTGGCATTTTGAGCCAAGTTATAGTTTTCCCGACTCTTACGCAGACATTTGGGTAACCGAATAATGTGTAAAGTATTTTTTTCCGTATATAAAAAAGAACTAATTTGTACGCTATGTAAAGGCTAAGATGTGTACTTTTGATGCGTTGAACGGCAGTAACACCGCCCGTATTGGGGAGGAGATCGAACAGTCACGCCTCTGGCGGCACGCTTCAGCTGTGGGGACAACAAACCGAATTTTCTTGTTTGTTTTTGATCAGCGATATCGATGGTGACGATTCGAATGGCCGCTCCTCGTGCAACCAAAGCACTGGTACGAGTGAAGCGCTCGTGTCCAGACCGTGCTCGGCGAGGTTCAATTTCTTTGTTATGCTGTGTTAGTAAACACCGGGCTGTGGGGACAACAATCTTGATGAAGCTCCCCCTATAGTTCGATCTCCTGCCCAATACATCGTACAAGGCACCGTGTTCCTTGCAGAAAGGACAGGGTTGTCGGCGTATACGGCTCGAGTATGTTCGCTTCATAAATAAGTATGTACGCTTCGAACATGCCTGCAGACAGTGTTGGTATGTCCGATGTGAACGGGACCGCCATACGTGGAAGAAGCACGCATCAGGCAGTGTCGGGAAACTGCCTTTTTTGCGACGCGGGGTAACTGCGGCTCTAGGAGCGCCGCCAATTTTTTGTCGGATCCTCAAGGTTCGACTGGTTTGCCGAAGCTTCGAACTTTTAGTTTAAAGTTCGACAAAGTTCGATTCGCCGACAACCTTGTCTGCAGCCCGACCTGCAGGCAAGTACGCGGAGTGCTTGAGCTAAATTACACGAAGGAGCCAATAAAGCACCGTTAAAAGTGCATCGTCACGAATCGTAATACTGTTGAAATTTGAGCTGGTTGGGAAGTTGATGAAGCAATCATGCGTGGAAATAAAAAAGCGCAGCATCACGGCGCGTTCACTCTGCGTGTTTGGTTTGGTCGATGATGAGCAGACGCACAAAGACCACGAGCGCCGTGACTTTTGGCACCGCTTCACATTGGATCGCTGCGTCCACCGCACATTTTACATTTTGGGTAACAAATAATTTATGACCTGACATAGCCTAATAATAAAAAAAAATATTATTAATGTTTACGCATTAAAAAAAAAAACGAAGCAAAGATGTACTTTTAGGGCGTTTATTTATTAATTTCAAACAACGACACGACATGCCTATTTTCTGGGTATATATGTCGATTGCGGACATGTATATGTTTGAAATTTTATATTTCACGCGGTGTGGTGTATATCGACAGGTGCGGACGAAGAATTTTTTTCCTTCTCAATATTCTACATTATGACGAGGCGTGACGCGGCTTGTGTGAACGACAGTCCACGTTAGGGATAATTTCAGTAGACTCGGGCTCACTTGTGCGCCATGTACGAGATTTGTTACGTGCGCAATACGTACCACGGGTGGAGGATTCGCCGCGTGCAATCAGTGCTTTTTTTTCAGCCAAAATGTGCTTTTGCCGGTTATTCACCGGTTTCCAAGTATAGTTGGGAAAAATACGATACTCAACAAATATTGCACTTCCTTTCCACCAGCTGGCGTCAGCTATTTTTAAAACCTTTCCTTATGCGCACAACAGTGGAACTCTTGTCCGACTCTTGTCCGACTCTTGTCCGACTCTTGTCCGACTCTTGTCCGACTCTTGTCCGACTCTTGTCCGACTCTTGTCCGACTCTTGTCCGACTCTTGTCCGACTCTTGTCCGACTCTTGTCCGACTCTTGTCCGACTCTTGTCCGACTCTTGTCCGACCCTTGTCCGACCCTTGTCCGACCCTTGTCCGACTCTTGTCCGACCCTTGTCCGACCCTTGTCCGACTCTTGTCCTACTTTTGTCGGACTTCTCTCAGACTTCTCTCAGACTTCTCTCAGACTTCTCTCAGACTTCTCTCAGACTTCTCTCAGACTTCTCTCAGACTTCTCTCAGACTTCTCTCAGACTTCTCTTAGGCTTCTGTCAGACTTCTCTCAGCCTTCTCTTAGGCTTCTGTCAGACATCTTTCCGACTTGGTTCTTTCCGACTTGGTTCTTTCCGACTTGGTTCTTTCCGACTTGGTTCTTTCCGACTTGGTTCTTTTCGACGGTTCTTTTCGACTTGGTTCTTTCCGACTTGGTTCTTTCCGACTTGGTTCTTTTCGACTTGGTTCTTTTCGACTTGGTTCTTTCCGACTTGGTTCTTTCCGACTTGGTTCTTTCCGACTTGGTTCTTTCCGACTTGGTTCTTTCCGACTTGGTTCTTTCCGACTTGGTTCTTTCCGACTTGGTTCTTTCCGACTTGGTTCTTTCCGACTTGGTTCTTTTCGACTTGGTTCTTTCCGACTTGGTTCTTTCCGACTTGGTTCTTTCCGACTTGGTTCTTTCCGACTTGGTTCTTTCCGACTTGGTTCTTTCCGACTTGGTTCTTTCCGACTTGGTTCTTTTCGACTTGGTTCTTTTCGACTTGGATCTTTTCGACTTGGTTCTTTTCGACTTGGTTCTTTTCGACTTGGTTCTTTTCGACTTGGTTCTTTTCGACTTGGTTCTTTCCGACTTGGTTCTTTCCGACTTGGTTCTTTCCGACTTGGTTCTTTCAGACTTGGTTCTTTCAGACTTGCTTCTTTCAGACTTGCTTCTTTCAGACTTGCTTTTTTCAGACTTGCTTTTTTCAGACTTGCTTTTTTCAGACTTGCTTCTTTCAGACTTGCTTCTGGGCGTTTTCAGATAAGATCGAACAACCATGTCCGGTGACTATTTTTAATTTTGATCAAAAAAAATTTTGCTGGCTCCATGCCGATGAGAATAAAACCAATCCTTGCTATAAAAAAAATAATTGTCTTTGCGAAAAAAAATTTGTAAGCACCCTCTGTCACGTGCGCGTTTTGCGTATCGCGTGATGCTGGCATTTCGGGCGGCTTCCCCCAAAAAACTGTTCTGGCTACGAATCTAGAAATATTTACTGACAAATTAGGCATAGGAAGGATTTACAAAAAGTATTAACCACCGACTATTAGGGTCATTAATTTGAGAAACAAAATCACAAACATGGCACATTGCGCAAAAACGCGTATCTATAAAACCTAAGGTATTCAAACCTTGCCAGTGTGTTGCCCTGTATATAATTCATCTTTGCAAGAAATATTGTTGTCCTGGTTAGCGGGAAAAGTCAAGAATTTCTCACACAGGGGCATTTACCTATATATGCATCATTTAGAAAACCATTTTAAACAAAAAGGGCGTCTTTAACATTCTTTAAACTCTCAGAAATTAACGTTTATAATATGTACTAACAGAGTCTGCAAAAAAATACAGTATTTGTGTTGCTTTAAAGTTATAAAGCAATACATATGGCCAAATTGACGCTAACGCGGTTGCCATAAATGGGGCGCGCGCATACTCGTTCTTCGCAATTTCATTAATGTTAAGAAGCGTAAAAAGGCGACGGGGCGGTCAGGAAAAGAAAAATTGACAGCACAGAGGTGGACGGTAGTTTTGAAGGGAAAATTTCTAATACATTTTCGTACAACCGACCCAAAGATGCCCATGGGCCGGAGCGATCAAGATGCGTCACCCTGCAACACGCTTCGCGGCGCCTGTTTCAACGGCCGGCGTGTAGCGTCTCCATCTACGTGACGTAATAGAAGAAACCGGAGCGACTTTGCAAACGGATCAGCGTACCACCTTGGCGGTAACATGATATAGGAGGTAGTGCGCGGCAAAACCTGAACCTGCGCCGCCTGCGAGCGCCAATAGATCCGGCGCCGTGGAGGGCCCCAGAAAACGAGACAGCCTACCTCGGTGTCACCATGAGAACCGTAGCTGTGCGAAACAGCACGATCCTCGGATCGGTTTCGGGCGGACGTGAGCGACGCCGTTCTAAAAGGTATGCATATAGAACACCCTCAACCAGGAACTCCGGAATATAGTGTTCTTTTAGTGTAAATTAAACACTAATACTCCGCCCCCCGGGCCTTCCTTTTCGTCCCGTCCCGTTATCTCCTCAGACAATTATAGGTCAGGAATAAATTGGCTTCTTCACCTCGTTTCGTGTGAATCGATCAGAATCGTCAAAGTGGCGTAAGGTCGTTCATACAGTACGTAACGTTCTTTTGTAACGTGTCCTGACTGAGGGGACAACAATGTTAGCGAAACTTTTACGTCTTTACTTTAACATTTTACGTGTTTAATACTAGCTCGCCATCTCGGCTCTGCGCGTGTCCATCCCCATCCCCGTTCGCGGTTTCGCCAGTTATTTAAAGCTGGAGGCCTTTACACAGCCCATAAGACAGGGATGCGACAGAAATGCAATATTTTCTCAAAAATCGTTACTCCGTTATCTAAAGAAACAAACAAAGTAACTTGTTAAGCATGATTTCGATCGAAACATAGCGGGCTCCTGGACGGCGACCGCTTTTGGCCCTTCGAGGCAGCGTTTGAGGCGAACAAGGACGGAAACATTTCGTATTGATGATGCCGGTGCACGGCCTTGTTCCCGTATGATCGCGGTCCCTCTCACTCTCTCTCTCGTTTCGCGGCCGTTACCGACACTCATCTCCGGCTACGTGCAAGCAGCCCGATGAGGAAGCTTATTCTTAGGCCGCCCAGGAATAGACACGCACCGAGGCGAGAAAAACAAGCGAGCGCCAGACGGCAATGGCTGCCGCCACCTTAGCTCATTTTCATAGCATGACCCCCACGTTCTTGACCCTCCATCTGTTTTCTTCCTCTTGGCGGCTGCGCGTAGATTATCTTTTTTTTTTTCTTTTTTTCCTTCTCGCGTCTGTCTGCTTATTAGCAGTATTATGGTGCCTGAAACGTGTCTTCGACTGGTGCGTTTAGCGTCCTATCTCGCCCATACATCAAAAGTGGTCCCCAAGTGGCAACAAATGACGTCACAGAAGCCGGCGCATCATGCTCTCGGACGTTGCAACCCTTGCGGTTGGTGGCTAGAAGTACCGGCAGAAGATGCCCGCGGACCCGGGTGTCGCTGTCGTCGCCTCGTCCCAACTCCTGGCTGCTGAAACTTCCGTGGACTGTCAAGATGGAGAGCGGCCTGCACCAGAACAGACGTCCGTCGTTTCACCTCCGTTGCTGTGACACCGCTATGATCACCGTCTTCGACCGCATGACACTTCAGCGACGCCATAAGCTGGAAATCGAAGGGCCTCTTTTTATCACGCAGTAAGCACACCCGTCCGAGACGTGTTCCAGGCACCATATTAATCTCCACAGTTGTCTTATTGCCGAATCGCTGTCAGAATATTTTTTCAAACTTTCAGGAAACTAACCTTATATTATCGGTGAGAGGTTGTTTCTGTGTGCTGGCACAGCAGGACTATTTTTGTTCCTCCTGTGCCACAGTAATGGCACAGCAGGCCTACGTAGCATGGGCTCCAGCCTTTCTATTGTGTCGTGGTTTTCCTGAGCCTGAAATAAATATTATTTCTATTTATCATTCCGACCAATCTTTTAGTTATGTGACAGTTATATGAAGCTGTCTTCGTTACCCAAGCCTGGTTTCACCGTAATCGCCTGGTTCAAGCCACAAACCCGCAGTGATTCCAGAGCTTTGCGCGCATTTACCACACCCTTCCACCATACAGATGCTTCCAGTGCCCTTACTTCGAGCACTATGCCGTTTTTAATAGGTCAATAGGGTGCCGGTTCACGGAACACTCTTAATTTTTGAAGGAAGTAATAAAGGTGTAAGCTAGGCATTTCAACCGCTTCGAATAGCTTTAGGAAGTTTGTTTTAGCTAGAGTTCCGGTATAGGCTCCCTACGGGAGCCACAGTTGCGCGTCTGTTTTCCACGTGCCTCCGCGCCGCTATTCGCCGAGATCCGATCACGTGAGGATCCGGATCAAATGCCGTGCAGGAAAGTAGACGTTGCACGCGCCCCGACAGTACGTTTCCCCGCTTTTGAGCGCGCCGCGCGCCTCGAACGCGCGGCGCCCCTATTCGCCGAATTCAGCCACGTGAGGAGCAGGATCGACATGCCGTGCAGGAAAGACGGCGCTACGGGGATAAACGCGCAACTCTGGCTCCCTTAGGGAGCCTGTACAGGAACTCTAGTTTTAGCGACTGTACGGAACAACCTGAAACAAAAAATGAATGAAACCAAACATACAACGACGACGACGATAACAAGATGCTACGCCGGGGCCGTGTTCCAAATCCTTAACCTAGAGTAAGATGGAGTAAATTTTGGAACACGGCCCGGTTGGCTGAAGTCCTGGACGCGAATGCCTTGGGGGTGGCAGCCGTCTACCAAGACTGGGCCACCACCTGGAGCCCACTGCCTTCACTGAAGTAAGCGACGACACCGCCAAATCGCCAGAGATTTACCATCTGAGATGTTAATTGAACAGCCAAGGGGGGATTACCTTCGCACGCAGGCCGACTCGCTCGAATCATACCTTCGAGCAACGGTGCTTGCTGCGTTGAGAAGACCGCGTCGTCCTCTCACATATCGTCTCATAATCACCATCACTTTCATCTTGTATATCATCGCATAGCCGCCATCACTAGAGGCCGCGGGCCTGCATGGTACTTCCCAGCCCTTTCTGCGGTGCCGGAACTCTCCTGAGCCAATAGTTGGTCTTCACTGGCGGCCATAGCTGAGCTCGCTGCTGCTGAGCGCTGATGGCAAGCTTCCAACACGGACATGACACACTAAGAACATTGTACTCTTTGTGAGACCATAAATACGAGCTGATCGCGAGCATGCCCTGTGAGCAGTCACCTCAAATATATGCGTCTAGTGAATACCATCTATAAAGACTATAATTGATTATTTCACATACCAATGCTTCTTTCTTTAGAGATACCTTCTATGACCGTGGAAATATTTTGCTTTATGTAAAACGTATACACCAACTCATGTTTACAAACAAACCGGAGCGCCCCTAGCGGACGCCACCGCTTGCGCGATCGGGGTGTGGGCAAGAAGATGCGATGTTGCCGGCGTCGGTGTGAGTCCCCCTGCTCTTTTTCGCGTTTGATGTCGCGTTTGATACCGAGGCTCGTTACACCGCGAAACTTCGCGTGAATAATGTGACATGGGGCGATTCATTCCGCGTGGACGCCGCAGTATGTACGCTAAAGCTTGATTCGCATGATGAGATTTCGCTCGCAATTTTCAGTCGCGACGCCGCTCGGGCTGCAAAAGCTTGAACCGTAGCTGAGATGGTTGACGTCGATACTGAAAGTCGCAAGCAGAATCGGACCAAGTCAATTAGGCATAGCAAGTCAGTGATGGTCACTGGTAACAATGATCAACATCTTGTATCTACTGTTTACATCGAGCCTGCTTACCTCTCGTGCCTCCTTCATTGCCCGCGTATATTTATGCTTTCTGTCCACGTGCAAACGTACGTGGCGCGTATTGCCAAAAGACTCGTTGCGTATAAAAAAAAAATTCCTCGAGGATGCTGCCATAATCGGCGGAAACCTCTATTCTTCGGGTGTTTGCCAGAACCTTAAAGCCTCCGTGCGTCGTGCCGAAGACACTGCGTTCGCTACAGACACGGTGATGGAATTCCTTGCGACACTCCTCAAGGTCGTTTGCTTCAGGCATGCTTTCAACATGTCGGCAGATATTTCTTGGAGGAACAATGTCCGTTATAAAAGGAACGAACTCGTCTTTGCTATGATATATAAGGCTCCTTCCAAAACGAATTTAGTATTTTCTTTGTTTTTAATGGGCCTTTTTTTCCGCAAATGTTGGGCGCCATCTATTGGCAAGCAGGAGAGGCGTTTTTGATGGCCTGCCTTGCTTCCGGTTCTGCCCCCTCCAAGCTATGTTGGCTGTCTGAAAGCGGTCGGGAAATGCGCTCACTGCTCAGCGTTTGTGTTTCCTCTATCCAACACAATCGACGAGCAGATTTGTTTCCAAATCTGCTTGTCTGTGTTAAAAACGGACGACTTCGTCCGTTTGTACATTTTTTTTTTTTTCCGAATGAATGGACGACTGACTTCGCCGTGGCGCCCGTTGTGACTGACGACACAGCTGAAGCTGTCTTTGACATAAGAGAAGTACACACAGTTACGTTAAACTAGGATTCATGTCATATGCTCTACCGGCCGTAAATTCAGAAAATATTCGAGACGAAGTTACAGTTAAGAAAAGCCTTTTTTTTTAATTGCAAGCTATTTGTTTAATTTGCTCGAAAATTTTAATTGGCAAGATGTATTCTCATAAATGTGAAAGCTTACTCTAAACCGTCCGAAAAACACCGGCGCCTGAACATACCAAAGTAATTCTCATCAAAGGTGTATTTTAGTGGTGGATTCCACCTTGGGAAATTTGAACGCGTAGCTCCATTTTTATTATAAAATGAAACCAACAAACGTGGCCAGGTGAACGGCGGACTTGTTCAGCGACTAGACTAAATGTCGTTTGCGACCGTCGCAGACCCTGGCGAGTTTGTTGTTCTTGTTTTTTTTTTTTTTTTTTGCTGGAAAAAAGCACCGCTTTAAAATTTCACAAGGTCAAATTCACCACTAAAATACATGTTTAACAAATGTCTACGATTAATACGTGCAGCCACCGATTTCTGAGCGAGCCTCGTCATTGATGTCACCCCACTTCAGGCTACAGCTGTGTGTGACTGTAGGTCCTAAAGAAAAAAAAACGCAAGATCGGCCACACCTGTTTTCTTTTTCTTTATCTTTTTTTTTTTTTACTTTAGCGCCTGTAGATAACATTGCAAACTTATTTTTTGTTTACTCGATACATACACGAGGACAACAGATCAAGATGATTGTTTCCTCTTTTTTTATCTGACCTCAATAACAGCAGATGCAGTCGTGGTAGCGATAGATCTGCTCCCATTTCACTTTCTGGGTGTGCACGAAGCAACACACTGTGTAGCATAGCCACTTTACCTCAATGACTTATAAATATTTGAAAACTGTGGGTTATTTCACTGTTTACAACAACCAAAAAGCAGACAGGCAGTTTGCGTAGTAACGCGAGACCGTCACATTGGTAAACAAAAAAAGTCTGCCAGTGAAGCGCACCATCACAGAAACGCCAACTCCGAGGCCCTCGCTCTGCGTGGCACATAAGCGACACGACAGCATACCTAACCAATCTGCTGTCTTGTATTCACACAGAAATAAAAAAATGAAGGAACAAAAACATGAACCTTCCTTGAAGTGGCAACTGCAAACGCGGGAGTGCTTTGAAGGCTGCCTTTACGAGTCGTCCGCATTGTATCTCTGGTTCGCCCGAATCAAGAGCTGCCGCTTCGTCGAATGCAGGCTAGTAGAAGGAAACCCAAAGAAGCCTAAACCGCGACGACGCTTGCTGTCGTTGCTGTAGCCAACAACGAAACAGTGTATGGCCAATACCACCTAGAAGACAAGGCCTGCGCATGACGTTTTGTTAGTAGGTCCCCGACCCGCCCCAAGCGGCAAACACTCCGAAGCTTGACGAGAGTATATATGGGCCGCTTCAGAACTACGGCTGCGTTCCAAATCTTACCCAAACGGATCCGAGTTACTCCGACGGGTCGTGTCACGTGACAAGACAGATATTGAAAAACGCTGGACGCGGGTAGGTTTTAGAACACCAAGGTATAAACACCTTATCCTGGAGTCAGATCGAGTAAATTTTGGAACACTGCCAACTACGTCGCATTAACTTGCGGGCACAGCTGCGTGCGCGTCTGCTGAGTGCGAGCTGATAGCGAGCTTGCAGGTCATTTGTAACGTGCATGCGAACACTCACTCGGCCAGAAGCGCCGGCTGGCACGCGCTCCTGGCTTTGGGACGAGCATTTCTCGAGCGCACGCTCTTTCTGCCGAAGAACGCTTCAAAGCAGCCACCTCGAGCTCTCGTGCTTCTGGCACTGGCTGCGTTCTCTGCTTAGGAACGAACGGAGTATGAACAGCGCCCTAAAAAATGGCGTCCAGTGCCAGCGTCCAGCGCCCAGCGGAGGGCTTTGCGGCCCTTCGCACAGCAGTAAGGCAATTTCACTCATGCATTTGACGCTCCACGTGAACGTCTAGCTTCATCGTATGCTATAGCAAAAGACACTCGACACGAACATCTGTTTCATTATCTGCTACACAAACCACTGAAGTAGTCAATGGAGCAGACGATGTTGCAGACGATGTAGCAGACGATGTTGCTCATCCGGGCTAGCTAGGGGGCGCTGAGGGGATCTACTAGTGATGACGTTTAGAGGAGGAAACGCACAGGCCTTGTGTTCTAGGTGGTATTGGTATGGCCGGACCCGGATGAGACTTTCCTCCTTTCACCGTATATTTCGCGGGGCGCCCGCCAGCACGTGGTCACGCGGTCGCGAGCGGATGAGTTCTCGCTGCTGGCTGATGGCTCTAAAGGTGCGTTTATACTCCAACGTCGGCGAACCTAATGTTCGCCGGCGCAAAACGATGTTCGTCGTCCACTTCGCCACGCTGCGTCACGCTGCGGAAGGAATTGTCAACAGTGTCTATACTCCGGCGCAGTCTAGCGAGCCTCAACGCGCTCGTCCTTGCTACGCATGCGCGTCGTCATGGCAACCAGGGCAATCGCGTTACCATTGCCGGTTCCTCGGTTTGTCGCCGTTCGAAGCGAGCCCGCGAGTCCTTGTTCCTCTTGTTTAGGTCTGCTGTCAACATGAACGTAGACGCTCAAACAAAGAAAAAAGAAAATAGCAGCTGTGCTCCTGTGGCGTCGAATACACCGCCGGAGGAGGCGTACGATGTATGCGCGCGACATCTTCGACAAGCGGGGTTGGGAAGAGGGATCACAGAGCGGGAAGCCCAAATGCTGAAAGCTTGTGTATGTGCGTGCGTGTATGTTTTTGTAGGGTTCGGTGTGTGTGTGCAGCAATTACTCTTCCAGAACACTAGCGGCGGCGTTCCTTTTCGTCACCGGCGCCGCCACCACCGTACCATCGCTTCCCCCCCTCAACACGCAGACATACGCGCCTACACAATACCCACCCTCGCCGTCGTAAACCATCTGTATGAACGAGTGCGTGCATCCACAATATGGGTGAAGGGATTCCCCCGAGGGGTGCTTTTCCTAAACTATTTCTCGCAAACCACCGCAAAAGACGGGGACTTTTTTCTTTCTTTTTTTTCAGTCGTACGCATTGGGAGTGGGCAATTTAAAACTCTCATCTTGTAAACCCGTTTTTTTATCGTTCCCCATCTCAGGGTTTACAAAATGACGATTGATTACCAGCTCGCCTGCACTCTCTCACTGCTTAAAACTCTGTCCGTCTTTTGTCCAAACCCGTCGCAACGTTTTCATTCTTTTTAAACTTTGTCACATGGTGTTGTTTACTGCTGCTTGTCAATTTTGTTTTCCGTCCTTTCCGCGCGGGTTTAGTCGTCCGACTAAAAATAGCAGCAAAAATAATATAAAAGATGCTTAGAGCATTGACTATCGGTTCCGTAATAAACATATATGTAGCAGCGACAAGCGAGCTGCCATGCCGCGCATTTCGTGGGCTATTCATACTGGGCCAAAATAAAGCGGGCCTCAGCGGGCCGGTGAAAATGAGTGCCGGGCCGGGCCGGGCCGGGCCGGCTGTCTGAAATATATAGCGGACCGCGGGCTGGTCCGCACCCAAGAGACAGCGGGCCGGGCTGAGACGGGCTTCTAAATATCGGCCCGTACAGACCTCTCGTACTCACAACTTCACTCGCGTAAGAGAAGATATAATTTAATTCATTTCGGCAAGTTCTACAGGCGGAGGAGACATGGACATGCAAAGTGTCAACTTATCGCTCTTCATGCCGCAGATTGTGGTCACCGGACGCCCATCCGTTCTCCTTCCTGAGCTTGTCCCGGTAATCAATGCAGCCAAGATCGTAAAGGCTAGGGCGACTTCTGACTGCGTCAATGAGACGCTCGGCATCACTTGTTGGCAAGTCCGTTTCGCTACCGCTCTGGCTCATCTGGCTACCGCCGTGCGCCATTTTGATTTCACCCTACCCGTCGCTCGCGCAAAGGTTTCTGGGTAACGACCGCCGCCAGCCGACGCCGAGATTCGAGCAGGGCCTACCTCGGCGAAACCTTCGCCGACGGTCGCCGAGGCGCGCTACGTTGCGTTACGTTCGACTGTCGTCGGAGTATAGACGCTCCCTTTGCAGCAACGTAACGCAACGAGGTCGGGCGCGTGCGCCCGTCGACGTTACGTTGGAGTATAAACGCACCTTAAAGAGAGAAATTTTCCGGAACCCCGCGTCTTCTCAAGTGACGTCACTGCGCACGTGACCCGGAAGACGATGTACGAGTTGAGAGGCGGCAAAAACCTGGATCTTTTTCATTTTTTTTAAATAAAAACTAGGGTATCCAGGCAAAATCTGTTTTCTGTAGTTCACTACAGAAGTGTCAGGCATCAACTTCCACAATTATTTAAGCAAAGCCCTGAAATTGTTGCACAGCCCCTTTAAGAAGATCCCATGCCACCGATGTCTGTATCAGTGCCGCCTCGTCATCCCTAACAGATAGGAAATATTCATATCTTAGAAATGAACCGTGTCACGTAGCAAAGCGTGCTAGTTTTCGCTACTCAGTGATCTGCATGTTGAATACAAGTATATCCCCTGTGTTCGCGTTTATGTTTTTTTTTTTAAAGTGAAGTTTAGTTGAAAAAAAAACGTCTCGTCCAGTCTGCATCTTTACTTGTGTCCTTGTTGTTTTTGGCGTTTAACTTTAAGTATGATCAACCAACTAGCCCAACTCGCCGTTTTAATTCAGTAAAAAAGGTTGTAGTGTACGGTGGTACGGCGTTGCTCTGTAAAAGGTGTTGGCGTCCGTCTCCCTTGGCCCTGACCCTGAATCTCCCCTCCAGACGCATCGAGGGAAAATGCTGCCACCGAGTGCCTGCCTGTTCTTGGTAGCTGTGGCCACCCTGGGGGCTGTTCCGGACGCCGCCACTGCTCTGTAAGCACGCCATTGGGCCATCCTGAGGCAGCTGGTCGCGTGATGCGGTTGCAGACGACATGTCCGTGAGCGCTGCCTAAAGACTCTTGCTACTTTTCAGTTTAATCTATCGTTGGCGTGACAGGGAAGCAGTACTTGTACCAGGCGGACCATAGTTGTGTTAACGGGAATTGCGACAGGCTCAAATACACGGTGTACTTTTTTTTTTTTTTACGTTTTTGAGATATATTTAGAAAAACGATGTGAAAGCTACACCAATTTGGTTGCCTTGAAAAAAAAAACACTTGACCGGCAGATGGATACCGTCCTCACTTCATGTGTATGGGGGTGGGCGGACATTAGATAAGAAGATTACCGTAACGATCAGAAGGCTAATTATTAAGGCCTTCAGATCTACACCCGTGTTGGACAGCAGCGACAGCAATGACGTCAGCGTTCTGCTGAGGTTGTCCCGTCGCCCGAGAAGGGGCTTTTTTGTAGCAACGCAGCACAAAGGCCGAAACGGGTCAAGTTCGCATCTTCCGACGTTTTCGGGGGAGATCCGGTTTGTCGGGATCTATTAACGTCACTCCGTTTATTAGAGTTTTAGTAGGTCGTTACGGTGACTCCGACAACGATTCCCAGTACTCCGCCTTTGCGCATGCAACGTATCGTTAGGGGGAATCGTTATCGGAGGTATCGAAGGTATCGGAACAATCAACTGACACACTCTATTGTCAACACTTTTAACGTGAAACATTGTTTGGCTCCGGATTTCGTGAAGCCGCATTACGTGAGGCCGCATTTTGCGAAGCCGTGGCCTCTGGCGTCCCATAATGCACCGAGCGCAGTGTTGCGTTCTTGAACGTCACAGACTTACACACCAATTCAGTGTCTCCGCTAAATTTAGCGGCGAAGTTGAATTGCTGTATAGTAATGTGACGTCCCATAATGCAACGCGCTCAGTGTTGCATTATAGGACGTCAGACCTACACACCAATTCAGTTTGACGAAAATAATCCCTGGAGAAGGCTAAATTTAGGGGAGAAAAATCGACGTCACGTGTCCTGATGTTACGTGATACTAGAGCGTTTCACGCACGCAACACGATTTCCAACACTTTGCCATACATATATTTTTGCATTACACTATTTTCCGCGCTCCATCGAAGAAGATGACGGAAAGGATGAAGTACAGGGGCTTTGTTTTGGATAAACACCGAGCTCTGAGGTAAACAAGCTGCCCCTTTAGTTCGATCCCCTCGCCAATATCGCCGATTGCCTTTTAATCCTCCTTTATGTCGCTATTGCATTCCATATGCACGATGCCTTTCAACATATTGCTCAGAATATCGAGAAAGTGGAGTGTTTCGGGGGACCCTGGTGGTGGTCTGGGGAGTCCAATGTGGGAACCTGTGTGCCTCGCAGCGAATACATCTTCACGGCGCCTGGATATGTAAGCCCGGGCACGACGACCAAGTTTTACGCCGTGGTCCGCAACCCTAAGTCCGCGGGCACGCTGGACGTCGAGCTCTGGGACAGGACCAGCCAGCCTGGACGCACGGACACCAAACTCGCCAGCAAGACGTATCAGTTCGAAAACAAGGGTGAGCCTCGACGAAACTAACCACTAAATTATTCCACTTTAAAATGGCGTAGGCATTTCACGGCGTCAAGTCTCATTGTTAGGCCCAGTTTAAGTTTCAAATTAAATTTTTTTTATGATTACAAATTGAATACATTGATAATTAACTAAAACATAATTATCCGAGAGAGTAAATGCGCCTCTTTAAATGTGCTTCTTGGCATTTGCGAAGGCTGCATCAATCTAGTCTCTATACAAAGTCCCGCAAGAAATAATTCGGCTGGCGCTCGGTGCCACAAATTGTATACTTAGTTGTTTGCACCTTTTTCTGATTGCGTGTCCTCGAAGAGGCGCCTAACCGATCCCTACATTCCTCAATGGTACGATGAATAAAGTAAGCGCAAACGCGGAATTATCTGTCGGATATGTTTGGTATTTATGTTTTATCCAGAGATCCGTCCAAAAATAATATATCGGTGTTTGTCCGTAGATGCCGCATCAGAAGACCCATGGCCAGAAATTCTTGATGATGAAAACAATGGCTCTGTAAACACCGAGCAACCTGCGTGGCTTTTTGCTGTCACTTTCGGGCATTCGCTGGAAAGCGCAGCTAAATGACGCGATCCGTCATGTTTGATCCATTTATCCACTGAAAAGCTACGTTTATAGTAGCTTGCACAGATGTCACTTGATCAGACAAGATGGAGGGGCTGCATTAGCGAGGAGCATGTCGCCAGCAGAAAGAGGGGCGTATTGGAGGAAAGGGCGCGTGATAGCGTGGCTTCCGCCGCATTAAGGCTGCGGTACCACGGCGGCCATCTTGAACAAGACATTAGTTGAACCACCAGGGCGGCGTTGGCTGTCCTTGTGAGCTAGAGTAACTGCATATACTCCGCTTGCAGAGCATGTGCAAGTGTGAGCAAATGCTGCGGAACCTACGCGATAATTTCGAAACACTTTTTCCCGTCACTTGCGACCTTGAGTTTCCTTCTCCGCTCTTACGCCCCTCCTTTCACGTGTTCACCCTCTGGCGTGTCGCACGTACGTTTATTGTTGAGAGGACAATGTACCGGATAATCCCCAACTGATGGCGCCATGCCCCAACTTGTCCGGCTGCCAAGTGTTCTGAGCGAGATGGGGTTTTGAAGCGGTATGGAAAAGTGGGACCGCCAATTTTGAACTATGCTTTTTCGATGTTGCATAAGTTGTGTACAGGGCTGGCAGAGGCACGGGCGCGAGGACGTAACTGTATAACTACAGTGGCTTGTAGCCACTGTAGTATAACTGTATGCCTCTGATCTACCATCCTAAATTCCTGCGGCGCGATGTTTTTGTGAATGTTCTTCGGATCCCCACGGCAGCAGCTAACGCTTCCACGAATTTTCAAAATAGTTTCCTTGATAAACAGCAGTGGCCTTTTCTAAGAGTGAAAATCAATTAAAAAAATGACCGCATCTCCACGTGGTGAATGATGTTGATTGGGGCGAAGCTCTGGTGGTCCTTGTCTGCGTAGACGGTGAGCCGCAGCATGTCGAGCCTTTCGTTCGTTTTCATCCATGTCAGAAAGAGAATGTGTGGTATGGAACGTGGTTATATACGCATTTGAGCATTTGACCGCAGCCCTCTCGTCTATAAACGTTGAGCCAATGCATGCAAAGTTTAAAGCGAGTATATACGCATTTGGCCGCAGCATCCTCTCCTATATAGACGTTGAGCGGCTACATGCAAGGTTTATCCGTGACATCCCCAGGTCTTGAGTTACTACCACATCTCAGAGCCCCCTACTCGTCCCGCAGTCGTGGCCGATTGGTTAAAGGGGTAGGGAAACCAAATTCTAGAGCCCATCTCTTTGCTTGAACATAAAGAGGGTTAAAATAGGACTTCACCGACACCAATATTCCGTGGGATAATGCGAGAAAACGAATTTTAAACTAAATAAAACGATAACCAAAAACCACCTCGTGGATGTCTGTGAAGCTTCGATGGAACGTCGTGACGACAACATGCCCGTAAGAGCAGCGCCACAACGGGAAGTACGGTCACTCATAGGCATTACTTAGACCTGAGAGTAGTACCGAGGCGCTTTGGTGAAGAAAGCAACAGCAGAGTTGGCCACCGTTTGTTTTAGTATCGGGTGGTCTTTCCGGCAACGCTTCTTTGGGGTGGTTTGGAGATTGTGTACGTGCGATGCAATATTCACGCTACGAAATGTCTGTTTAAACGGGCCCGCATGCCCACCTTTCCTGATCACGAGATAGCCGCCTTCGTCGACCGCAACTGATAACGAACTCGATCGCTAAGAAGTCAACACAACTACAGTCGTTGCTGTAAGGCGACGGCCCGTACGGCTCTGCAAAGCGGCGCCCACGTAAACAAATCCCTGCGGCGCTTTTCGGGGATGCGGGAGGGAGCCAACGTACAGGAAGATACGTTTGAAGTAAAAGAGTTTCAGCAAGATCCACGTAAATACCGGTTCGTACTGGGAGCAGAACCGCCCTGGCATGGCGTTCTTGGTAACCGCTTCGGGAACGGTCTTTTACAACCGATTTTATGAACCACTGGGCCTCTAGACAATCGCAACTCGATGCTGACGAGACGCTCGGCAGAGAAAGATGGGACCGGCATTGAGTCGCTCCCAAAAACTTCTCTAACTCGACATGTGTGGGCGTATCATGTCGAAATAAAATGCACATCTAAAAAAACTGTACGATACCCAAGTTGCGAAGGCAATTCATATGGCATTTATTTGAGCTCTATAACACACACACACAAAAAGGAGATTGAATCGAAGAGAGTGCCCCTCCTCGACGAGATCGTTCGTCACCGCTGCATCTGATAACAAGCTAGGTACGAAGAGGGGAAAGACTGGCCTGCTCACCCCAAATTAGAGGTCAGGGTTCAAACTATTCATTCGAGGAGGGTCCACAGAGGTCGCGTGTGCGTATTCCATTCATCAATCCAGCCGATCGTGTGCAGATGGTCTTGCCCCGGATCGTCCAAGTGTTTTGCTAAGCCTAGCGTCTGTGGTGGTCGCTTGGTCGGTGGGTCCTTGTCGTTGTAGCTTTTTTAGGTATCCGTGGTTCTAGCGTTTGTCTCCGCCGCGGCGTTCAGTTTCAATTACTTTTTTTTTTTCTTTTCTCTCGTTGGGACGCGCACAGAGAGCACATAGAGATGCACGTTGGTCGTTGCGACGACGTAAGCGAGCGATGTAAATTTGATCGTAGAAAGTGCGTAAAGCTTTGTTACTGTCGTAGGCGTGGTCGTAGGATCTCATCGTACGAAAAACTTGCGATGATTTCGCTTCGTGAATACGGCACTTTTCTTAGGTTTTGCTGTAAGATCGTTTTGTGAATAGCTATGTTACCTGTTGCGGACGACAAAGACAAGACAGACGGGTCGTACAAATACGACTCTAGGCAGAATTGCTTCTCGGCCATCATGGCCTGGTGATGTAGCGGCGCGGCGGCATCTTCGGTCTTATTAATGTCATCTACCCACCGCTCTCGTCGCGTTGGTCGGTGACCATTTCACTCGAAACCGCTCCGCCGGCTCCGCAATGTGCTACTACAGCCCTCGGGTACTTCGACTATGCGAGATTGTAACACGCTGACGTCACCAAGAGGCAAGACTCGTAACTACGGTACGCTTGGCCCTCCGAGGCATGATGACGTCAAGACCGCGCCGGATCTCCCGAGATGCATCGCGCTCTACGACGGCTGATTTTGAAGCGCTCGCCGAAATCCAGGCATTTAGAACGAAAAATACAGCCATCCGCTTGAAATATGACTATGCGATTATCAATTACAGGTTAATCTGATTCCATTTGACTTATCTCTAGGTGTTTCCTGTATATTTTAAGTTTCGATTCAGTATCCCTTTAAGGCGATGGACTAGAAATCCTTCGGGGTCTCCCCGCACAGGCTCAAATCCTGTAGACTGCGCAAACATTTTTTTTTATTTTTTTTATGAAGACAGATGGGATGGCAATCGATGTGAGCACGGACGCCGGACATGGCTAGACCCTAAGGAGTTTGGCCCCTAAAAAGACGCGGGCTATAAAAATACGATTTTTACGGGATAACATCAGTTGCGGCGGGCTTAAGGGTACGAGCGTAAATACACAGGGGCCTCATTGTCGGCAACTTTTTACTAATGGTCTTGAAAATCGCAACTGCAACATGGATCATAGTCCGAGTCTAAAATCTAATTAAAACGTTAAATGGCAAATTTTAGTTTATTAGGCCTCTAATTGTAAATTTACGCTCGTTCCCTTACCTCTGCCGCAGCCAATAATGTTATCCCGTAGGAATCATTTCTTTACCAAAAGTGTCATTTCTTTCAGAAAAAAAAAAAAAAAATAAATAAATAAAACGCCCGGTATATCACAGCCTTGACAACGCTTTACGTGTGTGAGGTTCGATGACCGACAGAGAACCTCCGCTGGCCGTGCTCTCGAAGCAAGGAATTGCAATTTATGGAGACCGATCATCTTATCAGTAAGATGCACACAATCCAGGAAAAGTATTCTCGCAACCATGAGGTTCCAGTTGTACTTCCACATGCATTATCATCAAATTTGACGGAGTACCTGCAAACACTAAAGAGTTCTCAAGAGCGAATATTACAAAGGAGAATATCAGCAGGAATTCATTGTTTATTCAAAACAAGCATCAGAAAAACGCATTTGGGCGGCCGGGGCGGCCAGAAGCACGGACCGCCCGCACCCGGCGTGCAATTAGCGAATGAGAGGGCACTCCTAGCGATTTGTTTTCAGAGCCACGGTATTCTGGCTGCCGGCCAAATATCCACTTTAATTCTATTATGGCTTTCGACACGTAAGTACACACTCGAGAATTTTCAACAATACCACGCGAGCGCCGACCGGCCTGTAGATCCGCGCTTCATCACGGCGCGAAGTAGCGATATCAACGACAGCGTGCGCAGAAGAAACGCGCCAAAGTCAGCGTCGGCTGCTATGATGCTGTTTCCCCAATCACGACCCACCCCTGACGCGACGCCCAC